GCACAGTCCATCATCGTTGTGTCCATTATGAGCTCTATCTTCATTGTCACGTTCGTTTCGAGCTCCGTCGTTGAGATCCACTTCGTCACCATCGAAATGTTTTGGCTGATGCAACAATTATCGTCGTCCAGAGCTCGCTGTCGAGATTCGCTCTGCCGCCATCGAGATGTGTCATTTTGACTCACGAACACATATGTCTGCTCCTCGAGCACATTCGTGCATCGTTGTCCTGAGCTAATTCATGTAAATTTTGCTCAGTTAAGCGGCTCGTCGAGCCGACGAGTTGAATCCAACCTTTGTTCGAGCTCGAAGCTATGTTCGAGCTTGACTCGTCGAGCCTGTTGCCGAGTCGAGTCCGAGTCAGCGCAAGAGCTAAGGCTAGCTCCGCGCCTGAGTATATGTTATTATACTTAAATTTTTTTCATAGCTCTAGCTTATGTGTAATGAGTGAGACCCCTTAAAACATATAGACATAATAATCGTCTTTATATTTTTAGTTTGTCTTTTTTTTATTGTCTTTTTGGCTTTGTGGGGGTGTGTGTGTTTAAGCAAGAATGTAATAATTTGATGATAAGTAATTGGAAGCTAATATGGATGCAAGAAATGAAGCACTCATTATCGGAAGACCGTAGTCAAGCTACCATGGTCTGAGGACCGCAGTTGACATGCGATGTAGGTTGGAGGACTATATTCAATACGCGATGGAAGTTAGGAGACTATAGTCAGCAGTAGGGGTGTCAATTCATGTCAACGGGTCGGGTTTGGGTCGAACCCGACTTGACCCGATCGTAAACGGGTTGATCCTAACCCGACCCAGTTTTGCAAACGGGTTAGGTTTGTCAGCCCGGACCTGACCCTTGCGGGTTGCCGGGTTGACACGACCCGATTGGCGAACAATTTTGGAGAGGAGCAGAGGCTGTAGTCGGAGCGGGCTGCGGGTCCGCCGAGTATAGCGGAGCGAACTAGTGGAGGCATCGACACTCGGCAGTGCCACAGGCTTGCAACGGGCCAACGAGTGCGGCGTGCGGGAATAGGGATGGACGACAGTAGTGGCAGCTCGGCCAGCGGGCGCTCGAGCAAGATGCGACGTCGCACGAGTGAGGCACTGAGGCTGTATGGGCTGGCCTCCTAGACCAACAACAGCGACATGTCGATTGGCGACACCTGATGCTGACAACGGACCGACGGACTTGACCCGACATATACGTGACCCGACTCGGACGCGCCCTTGACACCGTTGTGACCCGACGCTGCGAACTTTGAGGCTTTTACACGATGTCTATCCTGACGCGCGGGATGACCAAACGGGTAAATTCGGGTCGACACGCGAGTTTCCGGGTCAACCCGAACCAACACGCTTTTTAAATGGGTTGGAAATTTGAACCCTAACCAGACCCGTTTAATAAACGGGTTGACCCAAATCAGGATTTTTTCGGGTTGGGTTTCGGGTCATATCAACTTTTGACATCCCTAGTCGGTAGGCTACCGAGGATGAAAGATTTGTAGTTGGATGGTGATGGTCAGAGGAGCACAGTCGATGAGCGACAAATGTAAGGAGGACTATAGTTGAGCTATGATGGTTGGAGAATCGTACTAGGACGAAAATGGTCGACAGACCATTGTTGACAAGAGAAAGAGGTAGGGAAGGACCGTACTCGCACGCGATGGTGAAAAGGCTGTAATTTGAAAAAAATGATCCCAGAACTAGTTAGCAAGCGATGGAGGTTTGAGGACTGTAATTGATGGGTGATAGCAATCGATAATAGTAGACGAGCACAAAAAAGTAAGAGGATCGCAGTCAATAGGAGACGGAAGTCAGGACTTGTCGATATGCCACAAAGGTTGAAGGACTATAGTGGGCAAGCGATGGAGGACAAAAGGATTGTAGTCGCGCAACTGTAATTTTAGCATCATAGTCAACGGATAATGGAGGCAAGGCTAATCATTTGTTAAACGACAAATTAAGCTTAATCTTCTTCTTTTTTTTGAATTATTATTTTTTTATATGAATTATAAAGCATTTCCCCTTAAATTTTGGTCATGTACTCAATGTTTTATCTAGTCTAACTAGCTAGAAGGTTTTGAATCAATAACAATGTCATGTAAAACAAGTTAAATATTATGCATATAAAAATTTATTGTCATTGCCAAAAGTAACTTAATTGACACAAATTTAAAAAGTATTATCAAAATTATGATTTTGAAACTTAGATCTGTTGCATCCTAGAATTTTCACGGCGGTAGATAAATATAAAGTTTAATGTCTTAGCTTTTTACAAAGATCCATTACACAATTAAATAAAGAGAGGGTGTAGCATTCTTAAGATATACCATAGTTTTTAACATAGAAACCCTTGAAAAGGGGGGATAAACCACGGGGCCTAACCTAGTTTGAATGAATCCACTAGTACTTGAACTAAATTGCTAATGAGGCCCTTCCTTAGGGGGGAGGCCTTGGATTTATGTAACAAATATATATCATACATAGCACATTATATGGTGGAAATAGGAAGAATTAATATTGACATGTTTATTAGTTGGCAAGACCATAGCAGGTGAACGATAGAGGTAGGAATGACTGTTTTCTGGTGACAGAGGTCAAAAGGAATGTAGTTGGAGAAGGATGTCAGAATGATCATGGTCGACAGGAGACGAAGTTTGGAAAGACCTTTGTCAGGTGGAAGTCCAATAATAGTTGGAAGCCGGGTGGAAGTCCAGTGTTAGTTGGCGGCCGAGCAGAAGTCAAGCATCATTCGGTGGCTGGGTGGAAGTCCGACATCAGTTTGTGGCTTGGAAGAAATCAAGGGTCAGTCGGTGGCAGGGTAGAATTTTGACGTCAATTGGTGTCTAGTTAGAATTCTGATGTTAGTTGTTGGTCGGGCAGAAATTTGGCATCAGTTGGTGTCCGGGCATAATTCCAATGCCAGTGGGTGGCCGGGTAGAATTCCGGCATCAGTTGGTAGTCGGAAAGAAATATTTGTGTTAGTTGGTGGCTAGACAAAATTTCGGCATCAGTGGGTGGCCGGGTAGAATTCCTGCATAAGTTGGTAGCTAAGAAGAAGTCTGGTGTTAGGCAGAAGTCCAATGAAAGTCCCTCGATGGGCAAAAGTCCAACAACGGGCGAAAGTTCAACATCAGATATAAGTCCAATGAAAATCTATCGACAGGTAGAAGTTTAATGATGGGCGGAAGTTTGTCGTCGGGGATATGTCCAATGAAAGTACGATGACTAAAAGAAGTCTGGTGATGGGCGGAAGTCCCATGATGGATAGAATTTTGGTGTCAGTCGGTGGTCGGGCATAAGTCCGATGAAAGTCACATGACCGTCGATGGTTGGGAGGTGGTCGAGGAGGAGTCCGTTGGCAAGATAACTTTCTTCATTATCTTCCTTTCTTCCTTCCTTTTCCTTCTCTTAATGCTTTATTCCCTTTTATGAGAAATCAGAGGCCTATTTATAGTTTTCTGAGAATGACTTGACTAGTAAATAGGAGGAAGATCAAGGGTATATTGGGAGTAGCGGTGCAAACGAGTCGAGTCGAGCTCGAGCCTGGGGTTGTTCGAGTCAAGATTGACTTCCAGATACCGAGCTTGAGCTTGAGCTTGAACCCGAGTCGAGCTCAAAATTTGAGCTCGAACTTGACTCGTCTAATGTCGAGCAACTCGTCGATCTCAATTCGAGCTAAAAATGTAGCGATTTGTCGTCCCGAGGTCCGTTGGGGTCACGTTATCTGTCGTCCCGAGGATCGTCATGGTCGAGCACAGTCCATCATTGTTGTGTCCGTTATGAGCTCTATCTTCATTGTCGCGTTCGTTCTGAGCTCCGTCGTTGAGATCCACTCCGTCGCCATCAAAATGTTTTGGCTAATGCAACAATTATCGTCGTCCAGAGCTCGATGTCGAGATTCGCTATACCGCCATCGAGATATGTCATTATGACTCCCGAACATGTCTGTCTGCTTTCCGAGCACATTCGTGCATCGTTGTCCCGAGCTCATTCCTGTAAATTTTGCTCAGTTAAGCGGCTCGTCGAGCCGACGAGTCGAATCCAACGCCTATTCGAGCTCGAGCTCGATAAACCTTCGAGCTCGAAGCTGTGTTCGAGCTCGACTCGTTGTACCGAGTCGAGTTCGAGTCAGCTTGACTCGGTGCATCCCTAGTTGAGAGTGGTTGAATGGACGACCTATGTTGACCCCCTCGATCGTGGATCGTTTACTGAGCATTTGAATGTCTTAATGACATCAAAATTTGAAGATCTTAAGGTCGTTGGATTCATCGAGCTGTTCGATTCGACTATAAACATGTCATGTTTGAAAAACGGTTTGGTAATCCAAATTATGGTTAAACGTTCCAAATGCACTTCAGGTCTTTGATTTGGATTCATCTGAGCTCGAACTGAGTCGAATTTGATGTCGTTGGGTTTGTATTTCCACGATGTTCATTTATACTGTAAGTTTATTGAAATCGGAGCTCAGATGGTTCCAAATTTAATTTTTGAAAATTTCAAGTTGATTTTGCTTCAAAATTCATGCTAGATCATGATAAATTTTTGATGATATATCAAGATCTATCAAAATTGTATCTTTTAGCACTTATATTTCACAAACAAAATCCTTACAAAATATAAAAGTCATCTTGTAGGATAGTGGACGCTTGAGAATTGGAAAATGATGCACACCCTTATTTGCGCTAATAATGTATCTGTGATGAGATAATTAACTTAATTATTAAAAAAAATTTATAATTGAAATTATGAATTATAATTTCGTCAAAATTATTCTTTTGTAATTCATAATTTATTTTATTTTTTATAGAACAAAAAAAATTCATGTAAGATAGTGGAAGCACGAGAATTGGAAAAATGGTGCACAGCCCTCACTGCTCAAATTTTCTGGCCGAGCGAGCGGAGCCAAAAATGCACTGGTTGGCGGGAAATAAATTTCCCGCAAAAATGCGCCGCATCGTTTTTCCATGTAATCGGACGGCTGACACCCCATTGCACCGTTCTTCAGAGATATAAAGTGCTCCCAGCCGTCAGATTGACCATTGAGTAATATATTTGTTGGCCTACCCTCTACCTTTCCTGTTATTTGGAAGTGGAAGGAAAGGATCCCTAATTCAAGGTCCAATCAATCGATTCTTCTCTTTGCAGGGCTTCCGAATCTTTCGAAGTTCAGAGATCTTTTTGCGAGGTATGATCTGTATCCTGCATTTCATTTTGACTTACTTGTAGCTTGAATCGATGAGAAGATGACTAAAATGGAGTGCAAAGAGTGTGAATTTTCGTAGATTTGATTGTCCGATTTCGTTGCTTGATGAACTTATTTTCGATATTGTAGTTGGCATCTTAACTCAGGTAGGGTTGTATATTGAAGGACCTGATTCAAGTTGGAATACCTCACGCAGTGAACCTCCAAACCCTAGAAAAGGAGAGCTTTTTCGATAAGATTCGGGGCCGGTGGGTACATTTTCTTTGGGCAGAGGAAATCAACTCAAAGTTTTTGTTTGGAGTCGTACGGAGGAGTTTTAGAAATATCTGTTCTTGGATCCTACTGCATCGCTACCATTATCGTTTTTCAAATGGCAAATCAATCCGTGGATAATGGTGCTGCGGGAAGCTTGGAAAGGATACAACTGGGTGTTAATGTGGATAGTTTTCCGGTAGGAACTTCTGCATCACTCGACTTGGATGCAAAAGCTACACCGAATCAGAAAACGCAGAGGAAGAGGAAAAAGACTTGTATGGATATGAATTTCAGTTGCGAGGATAAACTGGCTTTTATCAATGAATGCCGACACGAGCTTGATGGATTGTTTGAATTCTACAAAGAGTTTTCTTCCTGCAAGCTACAGCTTGAAGAGGGACATTTTAATTCTTTGAATTCAGCTGTTGCATGCATGCTGGAGGAGAGCAGCCTTTCTTTCTCAGCATTGGTGGAGGAAATCTATGGCAGAATGAAAGCAAAAGAGGGAAGCCCAGGCGCTACATTGGCATCAATACGCAGTGCTGTGCTTTTTGTTGGTCAGAGAATTTTGTATGGGGTGGTGATTGAGGATGTTGATGTGTTAGAAGATGTATCTGATAAGTGCCTCTGGTGCTGGGAGGTAATTTATTTTAAAAATTTAACATTGCTTTTGTTCTTCACATATTATGTGCTAATGTAGAATACTAAACGTTTGATTTGCAGACAAGGGATATGAAGCTTTTGCCCAAAACTCTTCGTGGTTTTGTTAGTGTTCGTCGGATAGGTCGGAAAAAGATTCATGAGAGAATTACTGCGCTTTCAAGTAAGAATTTAACGTCATATTCTAAAAATGTTGCTAATTGAACTTGGTACATATTTTCTTTAAAAGAATTTGCTTGAGTTAGCAAAATAATTGAACATAGCAAGTTAGCAAATTGAACATAGCAAGTTAGCTAATTGAACATAGCAAGTTAGTGTTCATCGGATATTGAACATGTTCTGCTGAACCTTTTTGTTTTTTACATTGAGGCACACTATTTTTGTTATGCAATGTTGGTAAGAGTTACTACATTCTTGTTTTTGCTGATTGAGATGATAAGATTAGCAAAATACGAGACATGCATATTTGTAGTTCACAAGCTCAGATGCAAATGATTGAGGATTGATTTTAGATCAACAGTGAATCATTAAAATTTTGCTAAAATTCATGAATGAATTGAAATTTATTTTTTTGCTTGTGTTAGGTGTTCCGAGCAATACATTATAGCCAATTAACCTAGTTCAGTAATTTTATTTATGCTAGGTTGATCTACAATAGTGCCTTACGTTGTCCGAAGTCCTTGTACATATTTTTAATATATTTTTGAGTGCTCTATGGAAAATAAACATAATTGCAAACATGTCCCTTTTTCAAATTTGATTTGTAATGATGTTTAACTTATGTTATTTTAGAGGATTTAAGCCCATGCCCTATTCTAGTAGGATAATAGCAATTTTACTTGATCTCTTATATAGTCATGATATAATTCTACTTGCATAAAGATTTACATGTTTCTTTTTCTTTACTTCACAAGTTTTGTGTGCGCATGTTTGTGCGTTTTGACAACTTAAATTGGTGCTTTAAGTGCCTTTCTACTGATTTCTGATTTTCTTTTATTTATTGCAGCCACAATTTCAGCTTTGTCAAATCAGGCTGACGAAAATCACCTAAGTGATCTAACTAAGACATCACAGAGGCTTAAAAAAGCATTGAATTTGTCAGAAATTTGTTTGTTGATTGAAAATTTGAAGCAAAAGAGTAGTATTGAGATGTATGAAAAAGTGTTCCATGATTACTAATGCATTCATCTTATTGCATAAATCCCCTTCATTTATAATTCATTACTAATGGCAAAACATTGTGTCAATATAGGGCTGAGAAGGAAGCCAAGTTAAAAGAAAAAGAACTAGTCAAGCAAATTGAGAGAAATAAACAGAATGCTGAGATGGAGAGGAAAAGAATTTATCAAGAGACCCAAAAGGAGCAGCAACAAGCTGTAAGTGGAGAACTTACCTCGGTATTGTTTTTATGGATATGCAGAAGTCTAGTTGGACGCCATTGGTGATTGGAGTTTGTACTTGGGAAGCTTTTTTTGTGTATAAAGTTAATAATAAAATGGGCTTAATAAGGCAGACATTTAGCATGCTATTGATATCTGAAAACGCCCATTTTACTGCTTTCCCAAATAAAAGGATGGTATTAGAAATGGTTGCCACGCAAAATTTTGCTAAAAAAAGCAAGTCCAATAACTTGTATTGAAAAGTGGAAGATAATTTGCATCCTTTGTTAAATATTTTTTGTGTTTTTCCTTTTAAAATGTTTTGTCAGCATTTGTCATGTTAAAGCACCAAAAGCTCACTTGTTGATTTTGTTAGACCGGCTCTCCCACCATACTTGTCAACGGCAACGGCGAATGGCGCACCACGGCGCAAAGTTCCCCGTAGAGCCATAGCGCATAGCGTAAGGCACGACACGTGCCATTTTGAACACGGCACAAAATAAAAAATAAGTATAAAAATTACTATATGAATCTTATTTTTGATTATCAATCAAGTTGGGTAAGGCTTGGTTAAATATGTTTGTGATCCATAGTTCAAATCATTAAAGTGAGCTTCAAGTTCATTCAAAATTTCTATTAAAATAATTGCAATACTATTCCTCAAACAGGAAAAATAGAAAGCGCCATTCAAATTCTAACTGAGGGTTAGGGCAACATAATCTAAAAAAAGTCTAATAAAATTTAACTTAACTATTCTAATTATATCAAATAATTTTATAATGACTAATTACATTATTTTAAAAATTTAAATGTATAAATATAAAAAATTATTTATAATTATATTACAAATTTTCTAAAATTCAAATTGTGCACGCTGTGTGCCATTGCACCATGTGCCACGGCTCACACATGGCTCAAATGGCGCGCCCCAACTTGAACATGTGCGTCGCGCCATGGTGCGCTCCATTTTTGCGCCATTGACAAATATGGGCTGAACCAATACCACATGGACCAATTCTGTTATATTCCAGGCAGTATAGATCTGCCTGGGGTGGGAGGGGGGGGGGAGCATGTGGGGCACATCTCTCTTAATTGTGGTGTTATGACTTTAATTGAGAAGAATTTGAGAGGGAAAATTCAAATTCTAGGGGTTGTATAGGGATTTGTTGTTTGCTTTTGCTTTAAGTAGTATTTTTTGTTTAAAAAAATAAATCAAAAGTAGTATTTTCTGTTCGAGTGTTAGGGTTATGCTGTATGTTTTGCAGAATTTGGTGTTTGATAGGTTTTGCTTGGGCTCTAGTCTTTGGCTAGAGATTGGGAGAGCATGATCTTCCTCTCCAATTGAAGGTCCAACTGTATCTTGCTATTTTCTTTCATCTACTATCAAATCAAAAAATTTTCCCTCCATTATTTCTCTTTTTTTTCTCTTTTTTTTTCCCCTCAAAAACTGCTTGGAAGTGTGCCGGATTGCTGATTTCCACAGCAGAATTCTGTGTTTCCTCTTATTACCTATTTGATTTTTTTTCTGGAATTAAATTAGTCCGTTTCTCCATTGCAGGAAAAGGAATTAAAGAGGCTCCAGGAAGAAGCTGCAACAGAGGATAAACGTCTTGAAAAAGAGAGGGCTGAACTTAGAAAACAACTTAAGAAGCAAGAAGTGCAAGCAAAAAGGGACCAACAACGACATGAGAAAGAAGCAGCAGAACTGAAAAAGCAAATTAAAATACAAAAACAAGCAACAATTATGGAACGATTTCTCAAGCGCACAAAGGTTAATGATTCTTTTGATTTAACACCTTCGAAGGAGGCAATGATATCTGAATCAAGTTGTGAAGGTGAGAGTATGGCTAACTCAACTTCATCCTTGATGGATCATGCACTGTCGCTGCCTGAAAACCTCACATTGGAGGATCTACGCAGGTTAGTGTTATCAAATTGTACGACTACTTTATTCGTTCTGCTGTTTCTGTGAGCTTTCTGCTTAAAATGGCACATTTTTCTAGTTTCAAGCAGTCCGTCTTTGAGGCCCTAAACACAAGTGCATACTAATCTACACTTTCTACATTTTTTACATGCATGGGTTCACATTTTTACTGCCTGTAGAGATTCTGCTCACATTTTCTCTTGATCTGTTGCACAAAGGTTTTGATTTGGCTAAATTTCATCTTTTTTTAAATAAATATTGTGAATCTAGCTCCCATCCGCAATACTAATGCTTTCTTAGATTTGTGGTAGACCTATCTTATCTATTAGGCCAAGTAAATACCATTTCAGTGGTGTTTGAGAGTATTGTTAAGGACAGGCAAGAACATATCATCATTAGCACTCTTTGCTTAACCCCAACTATTTGGTGGGCTTCATGATCACTCTTCTATTCATTGATGTTCTGCGCTACAGTACATGTTGATTATAAATTTTTAGGAGTCTTTTCAACGTCTAGTTAATGTTTTATTTTTTTTTTCTCTTTTTATAGCCAATCCATAAATTTTATCTAACCCAGCTTTTTGGCTCTTCTACACTTCACTATAGCTGTCCAATTATTTCAAATTTGTATTCAGATCTTCATTAATTTCTGTTCCTTTATTCCCTCAATATAATTATTTCTATCTTTCACAGTTTCAGTCAACAACCATTATAACATACTCATTTTTGCTCCAAACTTGATTGGCAGTGACTTCATTGTTGCTGAACACTTATTCATACTAGATATTCGGTCTAAATGCATTTTCATAAATATATACATGTCTCCATGGAATTTTCCTATTATTTAGTGCTCTTGATACACTTTTCTATGTACCTACCCAATTTTAATTGCACAAGTAATGTCCTCATAAGCATCTATATTATATTGCAGCAGTAGTTGGGATTAAACCAATTATGATGATGATGCTCAATTGTATAAATAAAATTAAGATATTTAAACTAATAACACTCAGGTATCATTTGATTTGGTTTATATTTAAAATTGATGCCAGTCACTCATTCTTTTAGTTTTCATTGCAAGCCTCTCATCTTCTTAAACTTTTTTTTTTTGTTTTTTGTTTTTCAATTCAAAAGAGGTTCACCATCAGAGTTATGTCATTTGCAAATAGTATTCACCAAGTAAGATTGTTGGAGTAGGAGATTGTTGAAAGTAGAAAGACCCAAAACATGCCTTATATCATTTGATTTGTCTAATGAAGTTGCCAACTCTATTGTAGTTTAGTGATTGACAAAATAATTCATAATTAGTTTGCATATTTATCATAACTGATTAGTAAAAATTTAACATTTATTTCAGAATGCATATTGTTAGATGGCACAAGTGTTGTCATTCAAACAGATCTAGCAGATGGGGTGTAAGATCTAAGCCAAAGGTTAACTTGTTGCATGGCTTGAAATTGCTTGGACAATCAACTGAAGCTGGCCCTCTTGATAAGTTCTCATTTCTAGACAAAGATCTCACAGACAAGAAACCTAGATATTCAAGTGAAACAGTGTTAGACCGACAATTGGGTGAATGTGCCGAGGCTGTCACAAATTACAACAAATACCATACTAGTTTAGAAAATACATCTGCCAATTGTTTAGTTAAAAAGCTTCTGCAGTTTGACAAGAGTAACCGGCCAGCATATTATGGTACCTGGATCAGGAAAAGGTAACATCTGAATTGATCTGACTATACTTTTAACTGAAAATTTAACAACCATAAAAACTGATATTGCCTTCTTATGATTATGTAGTATTATTGGTCCTCGAAATCCGTTTCAGAAAGATCCTGACTTGGATTATGAGGTTGACAGCGATGAGGAATGGGAGGAGGTGATTTGGTGGTTTTGTTAACTCTGGCTGAAATACAGTTCTACTGCTGATCACCTTTTATATTCCTTTTATTTTGGTTACAGGAAGAACCAGGTGAAAGCCTATCAGATTGTGAAAGGGACAAGGAGGATGAAGTGCTGGATAAAGAAAACACGAAGGAGGGTAGTGATGATGAAAGTGAAGATAGTTTCTTAGTGCCAGATGGATATCTCTCAGAAAATGAGGTTTTTTACTTTCATTGAAACATTCCAGTTAAATGTTGTGCTGATCTTTCATTAGATTTTGATTTTGAGAGCTCTAAGCACTACAGGAGCAAGTTTTTCATATTTTGAAATTGAATAATTGCTAGTTGCAGTCCCGGAACACTGTACTTTCCCATATTTTATATTGTTTTAATGTTACTGTAATATTTGATTTACCAATGATCTGTATCGTATATCACTGTTCAATTATACAAGAAAGCTTACATATTTTCATTTTCGTTTTTGAAAGGGGGTTCAAGTCGACAAACCTTCAGATTTCATGGATGAGGAATCCAGGAACTTAACTACGTGCACTCAAATGGAAACTGAAAATGAGGAGTTAAGAACATTTTTTCAACAACAGAAGTATCTGAACAATTTGACAGAACAGGCTCTTCGGAAATGCCATCCACTAATTATTACAAATCTAAGGCATGAAAAAACAGCATCACTAAATACCGATTTTGTAGATGGAACTGCTAGGTTGGAACAAATCTGTTTGCAGGTTCTGTGTATTAGGATTTGCCCTGGAGGTTCAGATATTGATAAACCCAGTGATCATGTCGTAAGTCAAGATCAAGAACAACAAATTTCACCGGTTAAAAATCTAAGCCAATCTTCAGCCGCTTCGGCTGTTATTCCTGATTCAGAATTGCCCGAATTTGTACGTGGAACAAAAAAATTCTATTTCTATTACTAAATTTTTTCTAACTGTTTAACTTGATTTGTATTTTAATCTTGTGATACAGGTTAGAGCAATCCAATCATCTCCACAGAGTATCAACAAGGTTGTAGAATCATTGCAACTTAAGTTCTCAAGCATTTCTAAATCTCAAATAAAGAATAAAGTTAGAGAAATTTCAGAATATTCAGACCATCGCTGGCAGGTATTTTTTTCTTCTTGTGCTGCTTTCAGCCCTACTGGGGAAGTTCTAAATTTTAATATCAAATGCCTACCATAGTCAAGTTTTGAGAAGAAAACTTACTGAAAAGCCAGGTTTCTACCCAAAGAGCTCGTTTGGTTTGTAACCATGCTACTTGTCTTTTTGTAGATTAAGAAAGAGGTTTTAGATCGGCTTGGCTTATCCATCTCCACTAGTATGCTCATTCTCATTCACTCTAAGCTTCTGTCTCTCAAAACCAGTCAATTTCTTGATACTTAATGAATTATCGCAGACAAAAGCAATAAGGAGAAAGGCATTGCAAGGTTCTTCACCAAACGCTGCTTGCCTCCAATGGAAGTGCCCCTTAAGTTTCCTGAATCCTCATCTGAGCAGCCCAGTAAGAAGCAATTTATCCATGGCGAAACAGATCAAAGTACCACCGCATAATAATCTGCCAACAAGCTCATTTGCGCCTTGAATCATGCAAAAGATCAAAGAGTCTATCTAATATATGTGAATATGCAACTTGGTAGAATTGACGTGTGTATCATATACTAAGAGGTTGTGTTGGTATGTAATTTTGGCCAGTTTTTGAGGCTTCTGCTTATAATATGCTGAACTGGATTTTGCCTATACTAGTTCTCTTTGATCACACTTGTTTTACTGCAAACAACATGATTGAAGAATGTTAAATTCTAAAATGTTAGTAATTGAAGGAATTGGATCACAAATATGCTTAATGGATTGAGTACTATTTTCAGTATTTGTTTGTGAATGCTTTTCTACCTATTTTATAGATCAAATAAAGGTTACAGGTACTTACAATTCCTTGATTTCGGAAATTTTATTTGATCTGTGAGCTACCTTATTCCAACTATTTGATGTACTGATGTAGTTTTCTAACATTCTGTTCAGTTTTTAGTGGAATACAACGTTTTAGTATTGATTTGTGGAAGTAAAATTGTTTTAACTCTTAAAATTGTATAAATTTTATTTGGAATAATTTTCCAATTTTTAAGCACAAAATTGTTTTAAAAATAGTTGAAAACAGTGATAAAAATAGGTGATGAGGAAAACGAAGATGAGTCTGATCAAGATCCATGATTTCATTGATCTAAGGGATTTAAGGTTGTAATTGCACTCTTTCCATTGATTTGGCGTTGGCATTGAACGAATGTAACATGGCAGCTAATTTATCTCCATCCTATCTTTATTTGATTTTTTGCAAGTTTCACTTTTTCAAAATAACAACTTTTAAGTTCAGCAATTCAAGTAGTAAAATTAAAATGTCCTCGGGCGGCAAATTATTAGGTCTGGTCACCGGACATAAAAATAGGTCTGAACATTTAATGAAAACATGCCACGTGGAATGAGCTTTTTGACTTCGCTTTAGGTACGCTTTTGATTGTGTTTTGACTATATTTTATCTCATTTTATCTGTGCTTTAACTGTGATTTATTCGTACTTTTGAAACACTTGACTTAAATTTTTGCAGACACGTGTACATTTCACGTGGCAAATTTTTAGTAGATGTCCGGACCAAGAAATAGGTCTGACAACGGGGAACTTTTATTTGGTCCAGTGAACGTACGCAACTCTACGTTCGGCCGCTAGTAGAATCGCGCCACGCATTTTCATTATTTACCGCACGCCCTGACAACCCGACCCGGAATCGCTAGGTCGATTTTGCTCGGCAATAACCAATACCGAGCAAATACTGAGTTGTACTGAGTTGTACCGAGTTTTTTCTAGCAATACCGAGCAAATAGTCAAATACATAGCAATACCGAGCAAATCTCTAGCAATACCGAGCAAATCCTGAGCAAATACTGAGTTGTACCGAGTTGTAAAAAAACTCGGTATTTGCATGATATTGGTCTTCACATAGCGGTATTTCTCATTTTTGCAAAGCAATGCCGAGCAAATGCCGAGCAAATACCGAGCAATACCGAGAAAATCGCGAACATAGCATTCCCGGGTTCCGCTCCGGGTCAAGTCGTCGAGCCGCGCGGTAAAGAGTAAGAGCACGTGACGACATGTTATTGGCGGCCGAACGTAGCTCTACTTCCGGTCAGAGGAGGACGTAATAATTGTTCCATGACCGGACCTAATAATTTGAGACGCTCTCCTTCACTTTTGTTTAATCTCCTTTTTAGAAACATCAGCATTGCACATCAATATGATCCCACGAATCATTTAACAATGAAGACGCTTCCAAAGTGTTGCTTTTGAGGCTAGAGGCGGTACGACTGAGTCTTGGGCGGCTTCGACGACTTCGGCGTGTGCGATAGTCGGAGGCGGATATGGCGGGCTTCAGCAGGTTCGGCAATGCAGGAGCTCTGGAGCGGCAGGAACGAAAGCCGAAAGGTATGGGCGTGCAGCTTGGGCTGCTAGCGCTGACGGAAGCAAGGTCGAAGGCAGCGGGAGTTCAGCCGTCTGGGGAAGTTTCTGATGCAGATTTCAGTTTTGTGTGAGTTTTATTGTTGTTAGGAGTTACATGAGTGAGAGCGGTTTGTAGAGAGTTGGTGGGCAGAGGGGTCGGAGGTTGGGAGGGGTGTAAAGGGGACATAATCAAGTTCAGCTCGTGAGTCTGAAAGTGAGCTCGTACTCGAGCTCGACTCGCTCCATTAAACGAGTTTGAGCCACTTGCCCAGCCTCCTGCAGTTTTGATTTTCCGGCCCGGTTTTGGTATATACAAGGCTAAGATCTTCTCTAATATTCAAATTTAATGAATAAAAAAATAATGTTCGAGGCAGCTCGCGAGCCTTATCAAGCTGAAACTCGAGCTCGTTTAATAAGTGAGTTCGAGTTTGAGCTCGACTTGTGAGCTCAATAAGTTCGGCTCACGAGCCCATAAACAATTCGAGCTCGAGCCGGCTCAACTCACTTACACCTCTAGTTTGGTCGGATTAGTGGTTGTAGGTCAACATAAACATGTCAGTATTTTTGAAGAAATGGTCAACAAAGAACAATCAAACTGATTATTACTTTTGTTCTCACTAAATTAAACAAATAAATTCAGCAATTCAATGCATATACACATAATCACATAAATATTTTTAAATTTAGATCAACACATTAAACCGTAATGAAACATTACATTAAATTATTAGCCATAACATTTGCCAAAAAAAAAAAAGTTCATTTCATATCCAGAGTCCATGCTGCCAGTTCAAAAAATTCTGTTCATGCAAAAAAGTCATAAATTCTAGGCCCAATAGACACCCGTTCTTCACTTCTTATCTCTACATCACTTCTCCTAAGTCTGAACAATTCAAGTCCCATATGACTAACCTTCTTACATCCATGCATATGCAAAACCCTCAATCTTCCACAACCCTCACCCAAAGCCTCCAATCCTCTATCACATAGATTCCGACATCGATTCACATGCAACACCTGCAAATTACAGCAATTCAATCCAATTTCTCCCCATCCCAAAGCTCCAATCTCATGACACACAGCAACACTCCATTCCTCCAGCAATGGACAAGCCTTCGATATGGTAGCTATGGATTCGTTCGATATAAACCTGCACAAGCGAAGATTCAGAATCTGGAGCCGCGGCGCGAGCACAAGAGCTATGCCGTCGATGTTCATCGAACATCTCGGACTCGACAGATTCAGGTACTTCAACCCACCAGCACTTACTGCTTCCAACAGACCTTCTCTGGTAAACATACAACACTCAGCTTCTATGTATTCAAGCCTCTCTGAACATCCTCTAAGTCCAGTTCCCACTACATCTCTACATCCAGACACCACTAACACATGAAGCAACCGACATCCTCTTGTAAGTGCAAGAATCCCAAAGTCTGAGATGTTCACACAGTAAGATAAGTTCAAATTCTCCAACAACTCGCAGAAATTTGCTATCTTTTCTAATCCGACATCAGTAATGTTGCATCTATATAGTGTTAGTGATACCAATCGATTGCATTGGATAGCAACCTGAGTGACACCTTCATCTGTGATTTTGAAACAACAGTACAAGGATAATGAGCGCAGGCTAGTTTTCAAGTTCTTCAATCCGGCTAATGCTGAATCAGGTAATTCTGTGCAACCTGCTACTGACACTGAGGTTAGATGAGAGAAACGATTTAATAGTGTTGGAAGATATCTCACATATGACTGATACGCCGTTGTCTCGTAAGAGAAGTGGAGAGTCAATGATCGACGAGAAATATTTTGAATATGGAGCCAGCGATGACAAGTTAACCCAAAAGAATTTCGATCGGTTCCGTTCTGAAGCTTTTGAAAAATACTAACTAGACAGTCATCAGATAAGTTCATTTCGGTTTGATATATAGCTGCAGATGAGACTAACAGCTCAACTCATCCACTTGAGTAAATCAACTGAGATCCACTGAGAAAAGAGATTAGACCTTTCTTGGTAGAAAATTTCTACAAAGAGTTTGTTTGAATGCAAATAATGGTCACAAGAGCTGATGCTGCACATATCAATAACAATAATTAGCTCAGAGATGTGAATAGAAGATGAGTTTAATGAATGTTGCTGAGATTAATAAGTTTTAATAGTAAAAATTGTTTAGTATTCATCACCATATTAGTAGTTCAAAATTACAGTTGGATGAAGGTTAATGGTTCAACAAGTTCTTATAAGTTGGGAAGAAAATTGAGAGAGAAAGAGGAAAAAAATTGAGAGAGAAATTTTAGAGAGAAAGAGGAAAAAAATTGAGAGAGAAAGGGAAGAAAATTGGAAGAAAGGATATCGATGTTTTTTGATTTAATTAAATTTAGTTAACTTTTAATAATTTTAGAAATTAATCGTCGATTGATGTACATTCTTGTGTAAGATAGGTTCATTTATTGTGGGCTCCGAAAATTCCGCGCCCTAGCCTCTCCCTATCGCTCTCTTTTTCTTTTTGTTTATGTATGTGGATGACGAGAGTTTTAATTAGCTTAGGTTTCGAGTGAATTTTCAGAAGACAGATTGGGTTTTAGATAAGACAGTACACAGAGATTTCGCCCTTTTTTTGTGAGGACTTTATGATCTGAGTTCTGATTTCATATATGCGCAAGCCCCTATAGTTAATTACCCCTCTCGATAACAAGAGAGAACTTTAGATTTAAGGCTAGTCGTGGGATAAGTACTAAGTAACAAGCGTATAATAACAACTTTAGAGATTTGAATTTGATATTAGAATTAGAGTTTTTGTTTTGTGATTTATCACCGTATACTGATGATAGAGGGGATGAAGATGAACCCGATCAAGATCTCATGGTTCAGTCATTCTGGGCTGTCACGCCCTGATCTACTTAGTTAGAGGAGACAGTAGATCTAACCTGACAGAAGACACCTTATCAGCAGTCATGAGTTGCTTCATCTAAGAATATATTGTAGACAGAGGGCTTTATGCCTATCAAATATACTATATGATTCATCACTCAAGGGTTTTATGCCTATCAAATATACCCTATGATTCATCACTCAAGTGTTTGACATTATTATGTAACATACGGGCTTTGGCCGCGATCGTAATATAATGGTGTCATTTTGCGACAAAATCAAATTAGAGGGACCCTTCGGTTGAGATTTTATATCAACACAACCATCATCGAAGATTTAAGTATCACGTCAAACATTGTTGATGCTTGTTTAACTAAAATATATAATTTAAATTTATTTATTAAGTGAAATATTTAATGATAAATCTATTAAATTATTTCGTGTAATTAACTATGAGCCAAACCGGTTCAAATTCAGCTTGGCTCAAACTGCCTGGTTTGAAAAACCGGTGTTGTTTCACCATTTTAACTGCCGGTTCGAGCAGTTCTTAGACAATTCAATACTATTATGGTTTTATACATAGACCGAACTGGTCTGCTGGACGATTCCCAGTTCAGCCGGTTGAACAGGCAGGTCCGATCTAATTTTAATATATATACATATGCGTGTGTATGTGATTTTAGGTTGCATTAAGAAAGACTATATCAAAGCTCAAGAAGTTGAAAGGAATTAAAGTATGAATGAAAATAAAGTGGGTAATTATAGTTGTTTATGACAATTACATTATTTTATTTCCATTGCAATTCTAAATGTAGTACCTTTTTTATTTGTTTATTTATTTATATTTGAATGTTATTATGTTCAAGATGATGAAAATTAGAAATTAACATTATCATATAGTATGAATGTATATGTATACGTGAAATGTACATCTAACAATTTAAAATACATGCAAGAGAAAAAGAAAGTGAGTTTAAAAGTGTATATAATATGAAAATTACATGTAAAGATGCATGTAAAGAATAATGAAATGAATGAAAAAACTTATAATATATAAAAGAAAGTATAATTTAAAAGGACAAGATACATGCATGCAAATACAGGAGTTCACCTCTTATAATACTGGAAGGGAAAGCAACATTGTGGTTAATCAAATAATAATAATAATAAATCTTTTTTAAGCTATATCTTTAGGTTAAAATTAATGTTCAAGTAGAGTTAAGACAAAAAGTGTGGTTAATATCTTGAGAGCATGAGTCTAAAGCGAAAGTCCAAGCAATTCCTACGAGTAGGGAGGGGTAGGGAGGAGTGTTTCCGAGCAGAGAGGGGAGGTTTGTGGCTGTTAGTGGAGATGGTGCATTTGCAAGAATTTTGCATGCAATTGCAAGTAGAGAAGATAGCCTCTGCAAGCAAGCTTTTGAAGGTAAGAGACCGTCTTTCTATTCTTTCAAAAAAGAAAGTTAAGTTCTTTTAAGCATTTCTTTATTTTCTTGTAGCTATTTTTAAAATTTTTCTTTAACATATTTTATTTGCATTTTAATTGAATTTTTATTTTCATTTAAATATTTTTAACTATTTTCTATGTTTTTTAATTTCTAATACTTGTTGTTTAACTTTTTTATGCTTTTAATATAGAGACAAAACTGGCGATGATGGAACAAGATGGAACCGATTCTTTCAGTTTTAATGATAAACAATCTCAAGATGAATGGATGGTACAAAAAATATGTAAAGAATTTGAATTTGAAAGTGAAGGAATCACCTTGAGTGATAATGGCAATGGAGATATTATAGGTAACATTGGAAGTGTGCTGATAAATTGGGTGCAACTTCTACTTTACATTCATTCAAAATAAAGAAGCAAAGTAAAGTTGGAACATAAATAAATCAAAAGATAATTTAATTATAGAGAAATATTTAGTTATATTCTCAATTTGTTATTTTTATTTTAAATTAAATTGAATCCAATGTTAATTGATATAGGGAGCAAGAAGAAAAATACAATAATTGAATAAGAGTTTGAAGATGATGATAAGGTTAAAGTTGAGGATGATAGACTTGTTACATATAATGATTCTTCTGAAGATGCTGAAAATGAAGAAGAGGAGCTGTAGATCCTATTCCTCATACATATTTAAGTTTTTATTGACTGTTTACTTTAAATGTTATTTCACTTTAGATGATATTTAAGATTGAGATTTGCTTTAATTTTCTTATTGTGGAAAATTTTATAATGATAAACTAAGTTAATTTGTTGATAATTTATGAAATTCTTATAAATAATTTTTTTTTTAATTTTTATTTTTGGTTTGAGGTTTAAGCTTTGTCTCACTAAGACAAACGCCTTGGTTCATGTTTTTGCCATTTTAAATCTTGGGTTTTGGTTCTCCTCTTTCCCTTAGAGATTTTACTCCTCTCTTTATAATTATACTTTCCTGTTATACATGATATTTGTTTTGGATCTTCTTGATACTGCTTTTCAATAAGAAACCAATACTTGCACTATGTGATGACTTGCTTTCATAAGTAGACCTTAATATTCCTCCAAACACAAGGCTTTGGAAAAAAATGGGGCAGATTACCTACAAGGCTACAAGTAAGATTCAATAAATCTTGTAAATCAATTCAATAAATCCTGAAGGAGTTTAATCCTGGCAACAATTTGACTTGAACATAATTAAATCTTTATAAATCGTTTGATCAAGCTTTTCCGATTTAAATGAAGGAAAAAAAAACATGAACAATAGGAGAAGCGATGCAAATATTTTAAATCCTATTTCTCCTAGGATTTGCTAAACCAGGGATTTAGCCTAATATGGGAGAAAAATGGGATTTTAAAAAATTAATAGAATTTATATGGATCAAAAATCAGTTTCCCAAGTTTTATCCTAAATCTGGGTTATCTAGCAACCAAACAGCCCTTTAGCATACAAAAGAGAAACTTACAAAATCTGATAAGCAAAAGCTAGCAAAAACTCAGATTTGTAACCTAAAACGAAAGCCACAGATGAAATAAATGATCAGAAATCGCCATTCTGCATCTTAACATAAGAAGAAAAAAAGAAGAAGAAAGCCAAATTCAGCAGAAGATAGCACAAAATAATTCAAATGAAAAAAAAAAAGGTATCGTCAAAAATAAATAATGAGAACAGGCATAAGAGCTTAATAAGAATAAGAAAAGGGTTAATCAAGATCCGATTATGATCGGTTGTCTTCATCGATAAGCGATAATGATTCAATCTCTACTGCAAAGAATGAAATTACTAATGGCTAAATGAACGGAATTGGAAGAAATGAAACCTTGTCGAGTTCCTCCACTCCTCGAGGAGCAGTGGAAATTAAACGGCAGTGAAAAAAGGGCAGCTCTCTGGTCCCTCGGC